AAAATAAAACCCTTGTGAGATGAAATTAGTCAGGATGCTGGACTTGACATTTACAGACTCTTAGCATGTTCTGTGTTCCTTTTAATACATTTTTCCTGGAAAAAAACATTGTTCTAGGCAATTTCTGAAAATGCTGTTGCTCATCATGGCACTTAACTCTTTCCTGGCATCTTGTACAACATCAGTGTTAGACATTTTATTTTAACAGCTTGGCACATYTAGAATGCTGAGCCTCAGAGAAAAACATCCAATAAGAGGGCAAGACAATACTTTGGAACTACCAAAAAAAAAAAAAGAAAAATTCATGCTCTAATTTTATACATGGAATTKTTTTTTCTCTCAATTCTTTAACCAGAAATCCTCCTGTTTTATTTGAAGGCTTTTATAGAGGACAGTTAGCCCTGTCCTTTACAAAAGCCAGCACGGTATGAAGTTACCCGAGCACATTTTTACCCAGCCAAGGAGGTTTGGCCACCATCCAGAAGAACATTCTAATGTAAACACTCTTCAGTACAACATCCATTTCATCGAACTGTTTCAAAACCCAGGGTTTCCAATTGCAAGTGCTCACTGGTACAAGGAGTAAACCCAGGGCCTCAGGGATTTCTGCACTTGCACAAACGATCGYTCAGCACTTGCAACCAACACCTACTTTGCCAATAATAAAAGCAACACACCAGCCAAAGCCTGACTTATTTTAACCGTATCGTACTTCATCTCCTCTCATTTTTCCTTGGAAGCCAGTTTYGGAACGTCTCCCCTGGCAACTTGTTGCACAACCCACTGGTTCCTCGTTGCACAAGCTTTCCTGCCACTAAARAACCGTTTCCAGTGGATTCACTGCTGTGAAACCAGAGGGGAAAGGCCACCTGAAAATGCACTGCATGGCAAGGATAATTGGGACATCGGTGTGAACATTTAGAGCAATTTCACTGCTACCCATCCCTTCTCTCTAATTTGGTGTGTAGGAGCCAGCACCATTAAGAATCTAATTTAACACTGGAACAGGAAATTGTTCCAGGACTATCTACGCTGTTAACAGACGTGTAATTCCAGTTTGCTGCAGCAGGTTTAGGTAAATTCTGTCCAACTTCCCAAACACTCGAGCTGCAGTCAGCTTAGCTGCAAGAATTGAACAGTGAACCAAATGCAGTGCAAGCTCCCTGAGTGTAATCACAAACTGCCCAACAGCAATGACAGCTCTGGGAAGGAAGAGCTGCTCTTTCAGCTGCTTGCTGAACAGGGACTCAGTCCCAGCAAACCTAATTCTGTGCCAGAGTCTGAGCCCATAAATCCCAGAACTATGGAAGCTTGAGGTCATTAGGGACACAAGCAGAACACCCACCAGCTTCACCCCTACACCAACCTTCAAGTGAAGCATCAGCAGCCTATAAAAAAGCTTATACATTTTATTATTCTCCTTTAAGCTTTGATGTTCCATTATTTGCTAAAACACACTTGAGTGAGAATMTCTTTGGTTGGACAGCTACTAGAGAAAATTATTCAGCTGACAGGTCACAGGACCTACARAGACTGTCAGATTAATCTTCCAAGATCTAAAGCTATTAAAAAGACTAACTTTACATACATATATATACATACATACTCCATACATATATATTTATTAGGCACAAATCCAAGCAAAGGCAGCTTATAATTTTGCAGGATATTAAAATACTTATTAAAAAAATCTATACTTAGCTTGTATAAAAACTCTTGTTTAATGCTTGTTTAATTAGGAGTTCATTTCTTACAGTCAAATCTTGGAGCATCTAAAAATAATGAAGCTGGGGGGGAAGGATCTGAGTGATTAAAATAATCATTAAGTTGATAAGCAACATTATTACATTATGGTGTTCCAGAAATAGCCAAATGTGGACAGTTTGGTATCAATCTAACTTGCAAACTTACAAGATTTTTAAGATACATTTCACAGTTTTGGTTTTAATACAATTCCCTGCTTAGCAGAAGGAGAATAATCTCAATGGCTCAATATTCTGTGAAGTGTCACCACCACACCCGGAAAACAAATCTGGACTGAAACACAGGCCAGCAGTTCTGGGAACATTTTAGATTCCTAACACTTTCACTGCAGGTTGTGCAGCACCTGAACAATCAAACAACACAACAGCAGGCAATGTAATTTATTTCACTGCTAAGGACAGCCTGATATGGGATTATCACATGCAGGGACTGTCACTACCCTGCCTGMTGAAAAAAGGGGGGCTGGCCTGGRAGAGGAGACTCAGCAAAATACACGTGTGGAGGAAGAACCTTTCAACTATCGACTGCTTTTCTCAGGGCACAACAAACCCATACTCCAGTGGCAGCTGTCACAGCATTGGAGTTTTTCACATCCCCTCTAGTGGAGCACTAAAAATACAAGCAGGTATCCTCTACATGCACTGCCCTGGTTTCTCACCCATTTCTCTGAGAAGCAGCTTGAATGGAAGGCCTTTCAGGAGGTGAGAATTGCCTGCCAGAGCTGATGTGAAGTAAGAGGCCACGAGTTTGCATCATGCACAACGCTCAGCATATGTGATGAGGACCATTTCTATTCTAATATATCAAAAATAAGTGATATGTAGGTCTCCAACACTGGTCAGTATGTGGAAAAACCCCAAGCACTTCCTGTTTGCACATCGCTTTTCCAYGAACCGGTTGTTGTACAATGAAACAGGTTGTTACACGTTTCCAAGAGATAAGAATTCGTCTGAACCRTTCTGCAATAGATATGAGTTCATCTGAACCATTCTGCTCCTGATTTATCCCAACAGCGTCTCAGCCTCTGACTCACAGAGAAGACGAGATCACATTGCAGAAAACCGGGTGTTTTTCCATCTTTTGCACAAGCACGGCCGCCTGCACGGGTTTTGGCAAGTGACCTGAAAAACCTCTCTAAGCATCTCCTGCCGGAAAAACAGCAGCGCAGGCAGGGCTACGGAACCGCTGACCCTGGAAGTGCATCGGCCCCGACCGCACAAACCGCACGGAGCCCGGCGGGCTCCCGGCGCCTCCATCCGCTCGGGATGCCGGGGCTCCCGAAGGGAACGGGCCCCGGCTGCACCCAGATCCCGCATCCCTCCCCACCCTGTCACCCCTTCGTGCCCTCGGGGACCCGGGAAGGCGGAGCCGGCGGCCCCGGCAGCTCCCCGCCCCGGGGAGGGGAAAGGGGCAGCCCGGCTCCCGCTCACCCTCCGCCGCGCTGGATCCGGCCGGGATCCTTCCGGAAGAACAGCCCGCAGCACCACTGCGCCCAGCAGTTCCCCATCGCATCCTGCTGGGAACRGCTCCTGCTCCCTCCCGGCGGGTCAGGCCGCCCGGGCGGTCGGGAGGGGCGGCCGCGGACCCCCGGGAACAAAGGGCCGGCACAGCCTCATGGCTGCGCAGGGGCGGGCGATGCTCGCCCCGAACGCCGGCACCGCCCCCGCCACCGGCATCATCGGCGACATCRGCCCGCCCCTTGCCAAGGGACCGTCCCAGCCGGGCAAAATCCCGCCCCAAAGCTGGCTTTCCCCGCGGCCCTGGGAGGTGGGGCTGGCTCACAGCAACACGCGTTTGRAAAGAGGAAAATATTGCAGGGTTCCCGTGGTCAGGATGAAACAGCATCGCCAGTAATCGCGTTTTGGAGGAGAGGAATCCCTGTTATTATGAGGGGGGAAAAAAGGGGTTTCTCCCCGGTTATCAGGCCTGGACTGGGTCAGTGCTATCGAGATACCAGCAGGTTCTCGAGCATATCTGGGACACGGGCACTGTGTGGTTTAGGTTCCTCGCTCATTCTTCAGTCTCTCTGGCTTTAAATCACAGCACCACACATGGAATCACGGAATGGTTTGGGTTGGAAGGGGTCTCAAAGCCCATTTCGTTCCAACTCTCTGCTTGCTCCAAGACCCATCCAACCTGGCCTTGGGGTAGTCCAGGGCTGGGGCAGCCTCTCTGGGTAACCAGAGCCTCACCACCCTCACAGGGAGGATTTTTTTGTTAATATGTAATTTAATGTCCAATCTACTCTCTATCCATTTGATTCCATACCCCGTTTTCCATGCTAAGTTAACGGTGTCATTACAAATACGTGGTTTGCTCCTCTCTTTTAACAGACCCACAATTATCTCAGCAGTGGAAGAGTTAATTGGATTCCAAGCCAGCTCTCCATTAGCAGCACAGGACAAATGCCAGGACCCAGAGGAGCCACTTGCTACAATAGTGATGAGCAGTAGAAGGTAGGAGGAATATCATAAATCACTGCCAACCACATTGAGATGTTTTTCTTTCCCTGGAAATGCGAGGTCAGCCTGGAAAGGTGCATTACAGTGATTGCATTCAGGGAGAGAGAATGAGGGTGAAGGAGACACAAAAGCAACCAGGAATTAATTACAGAAGGTGATGCATATCGACGTGACTCAGGAGGAATGCAGTAAAGGTTCCAGAAAGTATTATTGGGATAGATGATGCCTCATTACACTGTTTTCCAGAAYATTGTCGTTTTGGCAAGGAATATACTACTCGTTTTCCAAAGAGGAATGTTGCWGTATTCAAGCCTGACAGGTGTTCATAAATTTCTTCAGAGAGGTTGAACACCTTTTGTACTACAGTACCCTCAGCTGTGGAATAGAGGCCACCAAAGTGAGGAGAGAATACCGGGAATATCCTGTGGAATGCCTTTGTTTCTGCAGTTTGTTCCTGGTGGCGTTTTCCTACACATGTTCCTGCCATGCCACTCCTGCCCAGAGCATGAGAAGTCAGTGTTAGAAAACCATCATGGGTTGCATCACGGAATGGAGAGAACAAGAAAATGCTGGATTAAGAATACATTGGATGAATTCTCCATCAATAAACCCACACGGATGCTTCAGCTTTCCTTTCTCTTGAAGGGAGCAGTTTTGTGCTGGTTTTAAGTTGCAAATAACGTGTACAGAAACTGCCAGGTATCTAAGATAAAGTGCACAGCGAGGGCACTGGCACAGATATCTAAAACCAAATTACTCCGCGTTTTTCACGGTTTATCCGTGGCAACATCAGCACACGGAACAGTCATTGCACGGATTCAGGCTGGGTTTTTAACGYGTCACTCAGCCCACCGCACTAAGGTTGCTTAGCCATCTCTCCTTTGCGTGCCCTGGCGGCTTTAAGAAAGCATCCTTTATAACATTTTACATTAATGATATTTCTTTTTGYGATTCAGGCGGGCTGCCCGGCGGTGCCGTTGGCGACAGGCGGGGCTCGSCGCGCTTTCCGGCAGGCCGTTGTCCCGGTAACGAGGCGCTGGGTCGCGAACCGCCGCCGCCCGCGGTGCCTCCATCCCGGTGCGGTGCGCTCCGCACATCCCGGCCCGGCCCCCTCCGCAGGGACCGGGCCCTCCCGCCCCAACATGGACAAGTACCAGGTGCTGGGGCTGGTGGGGGAGGGCACCTACGGGGTGGTGACCAAGTGCAGGAACAGGGAGAACGGGCAGATCGTGGCCGTCAAGAAGTTCCTGGAGAGCGACGACGACGCGGCGGTGAGGAAAATCGCCCTGAGGGAAATCAAACTGCTCAAGGTGAGGCTGGCGGGACCCCTTTTGTCGGTTTTGTGCTTCAATTTTGTTCGTTTTGTGTTCAAACTCGCTGCTTCTCTCCCAGCTCCTCGCTCGGTTTGTGTCGCAGCTTCTGGTCACCATTTACAAAGCGTCACTAATAAATCCAGGGGAAAACACACTCGGTTGGGCTCTGTGTGGTTTTCCATGTGAGCCCAAGCCGTGCTGGATTAATTGAGCCTTTCGTGCTGTAGCCTTGCGGAACCGCTTTTCCCTTTGCCCAGTGCTGTGCTGCATTCACCTGGGGAATCCTGGATCAGAAAAGCCTGTTGATGTGCCAGGCTGAGCTGCGAGGTTTCTGTTGCCTCCTGCTGGTCCCTCTGTACGAATTCCTGTTCCTTGCTGCTGGGAATTTGCTGGAAATAAAAGGAACGCTGACCTTTCAAAGCCTGCAGGTGAAGAGTGACCTGGATGTGTGACACTAAACGGACTGGGGTCACTTGAGATGGAAAAACGCTTCTAGGAAAGTTTTGCTTTATTTTCTTTTATTCCTGGCACCTTCCTGGCCGGCAAGAGGCTGGGGAAGGACACATTCCCTGAAGCCAGCTGGCATTGTGCCCTTTGCTGTCAGAGTGTGGGATTTGCCTGGTGTCCATATTGTGGTGACAGGACAAAGGGGAACGGATTCAAACTGAAAGAGAGTAGGTTGTCATTGGATATTAGGAAAAAATATTCCCCTGTGAGGGTGGTGAGAGACTGACACAGGTTGTCCAGAGAAGTTCCCTTCTTCCTGTGCACAGGCATGTGTGGGTGTTTGAAACATTGGGACACAGTGTTTGGTGGGAAAAAAAAGGAAGAAAATCTTATTATGCTTTGAGTGCATCCAGGCTTTTTYTGTGCTGTGGGGTGTTCCAGAGGTGGGAGTACTGCCAAACCTGTGTCCTGTCCTCTTGTCTGCCACAAGTGTCTCTTCCTAAATCTGCCAACTCAAAGTTCCTGTGCTCTGAAGAGGAAAAAAAAATTGCCATTACTACAACAGCTATAGACTTAATAGAAATGTATGTGCTGGAGCTTGAGACACAGGCAGCAGCTCCAAGCACAATCCACTCACACCCTTTGAAAGTGGCTGTGTGAGCCTGAATCGTGCCTGCTYCATTGGCCAGGCTCACCGAGTTACTGAGTTACTGGACACCACCCAGGTGTGTTGGGAATTAACTTGTTTTCCTGGGTGAGTGGAATCTTAGCAAGGGCAACATTTCCATATACAGCTCAGTGAGAGTGGCCTCTCACAGAGTAACTAAATACCTGGAGATAGAGTCTCTTTGTAGTTCCTTCCCTTATTCCATTTGAATCTTTAATTTTTTTTTTCTCTCGTGTTTGGGCAGAAATTAATTGTGACTGAAAACAGCAAAACCTCCTCAGGTCTCCCATGTTGGAAATAAATAATTATTGAGAAAAGAACTTTTATTGATTATCCTTATTTTGTCAGACCTTCTAAGAAATCTGGGCAGACACAGATGCAGGTTGGCTGGCACTGCTCCTGCACTGGCAGAGTTTCCCCTACAATTCCCTGTGCTCTGCAATCATTTTACATCTCCCTGGGCTCTGGTGCTGCCTCCAGGCAGCCTCTGGTGATATTCCCCTGTCAGGCTCCAGCTAATAAATAACTGTGCTCTGTAGCGTGGCCTTTTGTGTTAGTGTGTGATAAATGTGTAACAAATTGGAGGTGGATTCTTGTCTGCTGAGAACATATGGCAAAATAACTAGAAAACACAGCTACTTTTTCTTCTTCTTTTTATTCAAGTTGCATTTTTTGGTACTGTCCCAGCTGGGCTGCARTTAAAAGTATCTTTTCCTAGTTTTYCCTAAGTGAGTGCTTTCCCTCACTCAACATTCCCTGTTTTATGACAGCAACTCAGGCACGAGAATCTGGTGAACCTGCTGGATGTGTGTAAAAGGAAGAAGCGGTGGTACCTGGTGTTTGAATTTGTGGATCACACGGTGCTCGATGACCTCGAGGCCTCTCCCGCTGGTCTGGACTACGACAGAGTTCGGAAATACTTATTTCAGATTATGAGAGGAATTGCCTTTTGTCACAGCCATAATGTGAGTATATGCAAGAAGTGAGCTCTGCAGCTAAAATTAATATGTACAGAAGCATATATTTTTTGTATTTATATATATTTTAACTTAGAGAAATAGAGCTTTGTCTGAAAAGGAAGAGTGATACAGAGAGATACATAAAATAAGTGCAATTGAAATTAGAGGTTCTGTGTTTGCCTGTAATTTTCTGCTTGAATGTGAGAAATTTTTGCTGAGCCAGTCAGTTTGCTAGGTACAAACAGGGAATTTACCCCAACTCACTTTTCTCTGCAGATAATCCATCGGGATATCAAGCCAGAAAACATACTGGTTTCCCAGTCGGGAGTTGTGAAACTGTGTGACTTCGGATTTGCCCGGCCCTTGGCAACCTCCGGGGAAGTTTACACGGACTATGTGGCGACCCGCTGGTACAGAGCCCCGGAGCTGCTGGTGGGGGATAGCAAATATGGCAGGTAGGTCTGGTTTACCAGCCTGGGAAGGGCTGTGGGGAGCATGGACAGGGTGCTCCATCTTCTGCACTGGCTCAGCTCTTGGATCYGTGAAGCCGTGCTGAGTGGGGTGATGGTGGTTTTTTGGTTTTTCTCCCCAGGCCTGTGGACGTGTGGGCTGTTGGCTCCCTGATAACAGAAATGCTTACGGGAGAGCCCCTTTTCCCTGGTGACTCAGACATTGAYCAGCTCTTCCATATCACCAAGTGCCTGGGTAAGAAGGGCCCCTCGGGCTCCTGGTGCTTGCTCAGGAATAAAGGGCTCAGATTTGTTTGGATGGGTGGGAAGATAACAACCCAGGCTGTAGCCCTTCCTCTAGTGCTGATCCAGCATTTCAGCCTCCCTGATGTTTCACAATCCTGTATTTTCCTACGTKGTTGCTTTGTTTGTGTGATTCCAGGTAGCTTAATTCCAAGACACCAGGAGTTATTCTATAAAAATCCCCTCTTTGCTGGCATGAAGTTGCCTGATGTGCAGGAGCTGGAATCYCTGGAGAAACGCTATCCCAAGCTCCCCGCTGCCGCTCTGGATTTGGCCAAGGTAGTTAACTGATTGTTTCCTGGGAATGTTTCTCTGTTTCCCCCACCTCAAGCAGCTGAGTAGAGGGTTGTTTAAGTGCCTTTCTCTCAGCTCTCCATGCAGTGAGCAACTGCTTGGGTTGGCAGCTTGGTGAGGACTGTGAGGGTACCACAGCTCCAGTCCCGGGTGATGGGGGGACTCAGGCAGTCACCTCCAGGGCCAGAGGGGTCACTGCATATCCTCCAGAATCTCACTCACCCATGCTAAAGCCTTTGTTTAATTCCTGGTGTATTCATCTCCTTGTGTTCACATTGGTTTGACAGGAGTGCTTGCAGATTGACCCAGACAAGAGACCTTCCTGTGCCCAACTCTTGCAGGGCGATTTCTTCAACAAGGACGGCTTCGCTGAAAGGTGAACAGCTCCTTCTTTGCCCTCTGCAGGCTCAGATTAGAAAGAAATGAAGCAGTTGTGCTTGAAGATTGCACACTGGGTTTGCAGAGCTGTCAGCTGCTGAATGTCTGGGGTTTGTTTAGCTTAACCTTCCTGGAAATCGGAGAACAGTTGAAAGGGAACATGTTGCAGTGGCACATTCACCTCGCTGTGACATCAATTCATCAGTGTCACACCATATTGGGTTTTACAATCTTACACTGTACTCTCTGCATCTGCACCAAACCAAAGGGATGCAAACACCTTTATTGCTGTGTTGTGAAATATGTGTGCTGAAGATTTTATTTACTCTAATGTATACATTATATTTGGCYTCTCATTAGTTAAAAGGCACAGTTTGACTACTTAAAAGACTAYGGGAGCCTGGGCTTAGAAACTGATGCTGATGTTAAAATAAACAGCTCTTTATTTTTTTCCTTTCTCCTTAWATGGAATGTAGATTTACTCAGGAACTTAAAGTAAAGATCCAGAAAGATGCCAGAGACCATCAGTTACAAAAAAAATCCAAAACCAGCAAAAGAGACAAAGATGATGTTTCAGAAGAAAGAAAAACGTTCAGTGTCCAGGTTGGTCCATCTCTGTTTTCCAAACTTGCATTGTTTTTAAGTCATGTTGAATCATAGAAACAAGCTTTATGCTGCTGTTTGCCTGTTTTTAGAGCCCTGTSTCCAAAATGTAAAATTTTCCTTTCAGCTGGGTACCAAGGAGACTTCAAGAATGACTTTGAGGTGACATTGGGATGAGTTTTTATTTAATTTCTTTGCAAGAGACACAGGATACAGTTGTTCTTCCTCCATCATTTCTGATTCCAGTCTCAAGTGACTTATTTACAGAGCGTGCTGGAACCCTGACAAGTTTTCTCCCGTYTGATGGAAAGCAGAGGTTTTCTAACAAAACCAATTCCATCTCCATTAGATTCTTGCAGAAACATGCACATTTAGGTTTCTGACATACTTTTTTTCCTGCATGCACTGCTGTAAGCTGCTTTTTTAACATGACTGTAAGGAAAGATGGTGTTTATCTTCCCAAACAGGATTTTAGTGTGGGCCCAAGGAGCAAAGATGCAAAGYTGATAAAGACCAAGCCCCCTAAAGCTGATGCAGAGAAAGCAGATCGATCCTCCAAGCTGGGCTTCCTCTACGACAGTGCAATCAACCCATTGAAATTCAGCCCTCAGACCAGCCTGAAAGATTCCAGCAGCAGCTTGGACTACGCCAAGAGCACAGGCACAGTTATCCCTCCCATTAACCAGAACTTTTCTCCTACATTTGGGATGGGTTCTGTGCCTGGGAGCCTCAATTACAGGTATGGGAGCAGAGCTAGGAGAGCTTGTATCCATCATTGCTGTGGTGTCCTGAGAGGTGCAGGGTGACAGTGTKGGAATGTAACATGTGGGGTTTGGGATGCCTTGAATTTGGTGCTTTATGTTCTCTGTGTTACCCCAGCTAATACAAAGTTTGGGGCATTTTTGATTACAGACTTGATGAAAAGAGTAAAAAATACTTGAACCCGTTGCTAAAGGCACRGAAGCCTTCTCCAGTGGGCCGTTGCAGTGTCAGCTTGACACCGGTGAGTCGTCTGTCTGTCCCCCTTGGCCAGACAAAAATAAATTCAGTTATGTCTTGTATTCTCCAGAACTCCATCCGATCCATCTTTCACCAAAATTCCCCACTAGAAATACTTGTTTTGTTACCCCTTTTTTTCCTACAGATTTTCTGTTTGTTATCCCTTGCCAAGTTATCTTCCATAAAACATGTTTTATGTCAGAGAACAATTTTAAATGAGGGGAGYAGTCCAGCACAGGGCATCTGTGCTATTTGGAATATATCCATGGCCTCCTGCCTGACCAGGAAAGACAGATCATGTGTGCTGTGCTACTGAKGCAGAACTGAGGGCTTGGATTTTATGCAGCCAGGGCCTTACTGGTCATGTTATAAATGCATTAAAATTTGATAAGGAAAASAAGTGAAATGGGAAGTTTTCCTCTGCTCTCACTACCTAGGCTTGATTCTTTCTGTGCCAGCCAGGAACATTTGCCTTTTTCCAGATAACTAATCCCAGCCATTCTCCAAGTGCTGTWTTTTATCTCTCCAAAAGCAGCCTCACTTAGGTGATTGTTTTTATTTTGCTGTTGYTTTTCCTTTGTTTATGTAGAAATAACACGTGAGCAGGTTGAATTCCTTCATGCACATCTGAATCTTTTATCTCACTATTGTACAAATTCCAGCTACATCAGAAGCTACAAATTCCAGCTACACAGCTACATTGCTGTGTTTTTTAATGCATTTTTTAGGCTTGACGATAGCTTTCTTTTTTTCTATATTTTCATGAGCTGCTCCTTATGCCCTTGATTACAGGTTACTAATGAAAAACCCATCCTTCAGGCAAGAAAGAAAAAATGGGAATTCCTCAAGGCAGATGTGCGTTTGCCAGAACTAAATCATCTCCCTGAGCTGAGAGGAGCGGACGGTAGGAAYTTTGTCCTCTAAATAAAACCTGGATACCAAACATCTGTCAGGAAGCAGCRTGTCAGTTCTCACTCCCTTAACAGAGCATGCCTTGGTTGTGTGTTGCAGCTCGCCATCCCAGATTTCTGAAAAAGGAAAATAGAATGTTTGCAGAGTCCCGAGTCCCCTCCCTCGCTGCTATCGACCTTCATAACGCAAGTCTGGCTTCACAGCAGGTATCAAGGCAATAAAGTGGTTTGCACTGCTCTGTATTGGTTTGGTTTGTGACTTTCTCAMCAATGTGGCCCCCAGAATTCCAGTTTAACTCCTACCAGGAGCAGAATTTGCCTTGGGATCCTAAGTGTTACACTGGCGGGAGCACTTTCGAAGTCTGATTTGAAGTCTTTTTTTGAAGTCAAAGAACTGATTTGTTTTAAGTTAGGTGTTGGCATTGCTTGTGTCTTTAGAAGGCTGTTTCTGATTGTCCTCTCTGTTTATGCTACACACGGAAATTGATCCTGTCTCTTTCTTTCCCGATTTACAGCTGTCAGGGACCTTGATGCCGGATGCATCAGAAGCCAACTTTCCCAGGGTCGAGCACTAGCCTTGGGGAGATGGTCACACCTGCCTGTAAAAGGTGGGCTTTCATTTATGCTGTATTCCCCCTGCTGGGGGCTTTAGTGTTTTGCTGTGCAACCTTCTGGTGGCTTCCAAATGGATAGTTCCATGAACACTTACCTAGGAGCAGGAAATGCAATAGGAAAATTATTTTATACTTCACATTCCTGATCAGGACACTCAGCTATGACAGATTTCTTCCTKAGGGCAGTACACAGCTTGCTGTGCCTGGTAAATCATTTTCCTGAGCTGAAGTGCAGGGCATTGGTGTTGGAAATGAAGCAGCTCAGGAACTTGGGGGGTTGAGCAAGCTGCTAGGACAACAAAAAAAGGGGAAACTGGCTGCCTGCATATGAGGAGGGAAAAAACAACTCAAGTTGTCTGATCTGTGAAGCGCAGAGGTGTAAGTGCACAGCTWCAGCAAGGTAAGGATGTGTAACAAAATAAAGGAAGCCTTTCACCAGGGAGCACCTCCGTGGATTTTTTAGCGTGTCTGGAGSGTCATTCTCCTTTTCTCCTCTTGATGCAGGTGACTGAACAGTGGGAACAATCCATCTGAGTTTCCAGGGGCAAAAGCTGCCAGGTCTCTGCAGGGGAGAGGAGGATCCCTTACTCCTGTTGGTGCAGCAGATGGCCACAGAAGTGGCTCGGGTCCAGGCCGAGGATGGAGCTTGCACTGCCGTTGCTGCTGGATTTCTTGCGTGCAAAAAGCCCCTGGAATGTTGATTTTCTGGCTTAGGGCCAGGTCTTGTCTGAGCAGAGTAGTGGTTATTGGTGTGTGACAAGGGCAGGAGCTGGTGTGGAGGACTCTGAAGGAAACTGGGCTTTCTTTTGTCCAGCTGCTGCCCGCRTGAGGGGTTTCTTTTGAAATGAGTAGTGACGAGAGCAGCTGCCAAAATTCTCATCTTCCWGTGGGCTGCCTGATCTGGATCGAAAAACACCTTTGCCTTGACAATGAAGAAAATGTTTGCCTAAGAAATACCATGTTTAAGTGTGCAAATCTTCAGCTGTTCCTTTGAAACCCTTGCTAATGCACTTGTCACTTTKTTTAGGTTGTTTTTCCCTTCACATTTTTGACCCCGTGTTTGGGCACTTGTCTTTGGGGTTTTTTAACTGGGTCTGTTATCTGGCTGTTGTTCATGGGGAAGGAAGGAATATCCCTGTGGAGTACTGAGCTGTGATGCAGGTTACATATGGAATGGCTCAGTAACTCAAGTCATCATTCCTTTAGGTTCCTCAGGAGAATGGGACAGTGAAACTTGACTGTTAGGAAACAATTTTTGCTTATTGCCCTCAGTGTCCATGTGGTCAGTTTTGTGCTGTCCCTGTGTTGCTTACCACTCTGTTTTCCATCACCTGTCACAACTCACACAGTGTCATTAACTTTGGAACCTATTTTTCCACAAAATACAGCCTTTCCCATTGATGGATCATGACCGAATCTGGTCTGAGCTCTGTGTATTTAGGGATTTGTCTCTGTGCTGTGTCTTGACATGTTCATTTCATTTGTAAATAAACAGATCCTCCAATTCCAGGCCTGGCTGTCCCCATAGTGGATGCTTCTGCTTGGCCACAGCAGTCAGTCAGGTAGCCATGGGCAAATGCAGGGGGGAAAAGAAGATTTGGGGAGGGAAGAATGGGGGAGTTTGGGGGAAAATTGGGTGTGGGGGGAGAGAAGGAAAGGTTTAAGGGGAGGGTTTTGCATGGGGAAGAATGTGGCCAGCAGGTGATCTCTGCTTGGCCCCAGTGAGGCCACAGCTGGCGTGCTGTGTTCAGGTCTGGGCWCCACAGCTCCAGAAGGACAAGGAGCTGCTGGAGAGGGTCCAGCAGAGGCCACAAAGGTGAGAAGGGGTCTGGAGCATCTCTTGTTTGAGGAGAGACTGGGGGAGCTGGGCCTGCTCAGTCTAGAGAAGAGAGGACTGAGGGAATCTCACCAATCCATGCAAATATCTCCACGGTGGGTGTCAAGGGGATGGTGCCAGATTTTTGGTGTTCCCCGGCACAGGACGAGGAGCAATGACCAGAAACTAAAAGACAAGGAGTTCCAGCTCAACATGAGGAAGAATCACAGAAGATGCTGAGTTGGAAGGGACTCACAGGGATCATCAAGTTCAACTCCTGGCCCTGCACAGGACAGCCCAGTAATCCCAGCCTGTGCCTGACAGTGTTGTACAAACACTCCTTGAGCTCCATCAGGTTTGGTGATGTGAGCACTGCCCTGGGGAGCCTKTTRAGTGCCTGACCACGCTCTGAGTGAAGRARTTWTCCCAATAYCSAACYKAACCCTCCCYGGCACAGCTCCAGCTGTACTCTCAGATCCTGTCACTGTCACCAGCATTGAACAGCCCCAAGGCTGCCAGAGCTACGGACCATTGGGACAATGCTCTTTGGTACATGGTGGCATTGTTGGGGTGTCCTTCCCGGGCCAGGAGTCGGACTCGATGATCCTTTATGGGTCACTTCCAACTCGGGATCTTCTGTGATTCGCCGTGGAGTCTCCCACTCTGGACGCGTTCCTGTGTCACCCTCTAGAGGCCCGTGCCTTGGCAGGGAGGWTGGACTGGGSGATCTCTGGAGMTCCCTTTGARCCCGAACCGGGACTCGCTCGGAACGGCAATGCCGTGGGAACGGGAATACCAAGGTTTAACACGGGGAAAGCTATTCCAAAACTCCGGAACCGGAACCGGCTGTGAGGAAGCGGAAGCGGCGGAGCGGGGCCAGGCGGCGGCGGCGGCCATGGCTACGGCGGGGGGAGCGGCGAGACGCGAGCCGGGATCCGAACCGGGATGCGAACCGGGATGCGAACCGGGATGCGAACACTACCGGCGGGGCTGCCGGCTGCGGGTGGGTGAGCGGGGCCGGCCGTGCCGGGCAGGGGTGGCCGCCGATCTGCGCCCCGATCCGCGCCCCGATCCGCGCCGTGTGGTTGCGTTGGCAGGCGCCGTGCTGCGGGAAGCTGTACCCGTGCCGCCTGTGCCACGATGGCGCCGAGGAGCACCAGCTGGACCGCTTCCGAGTGACCGAGGTGCAGTGTGTCCGCTGCCGCCTCCTGCAGAAGGTACGGGGGACATGGGGGGCACGGGAGCGGGGAGGGACCGCGCCGAGTCCCAGCGCCTCCCGGATGACCGGGGTTACGGCCTGAGGCTGTGGCGTGAAAGGTTTGGAGATCAGGAGAAGGCTCTTCCCTCACAGGGTACTGAACAGGCTCCTCAGGGCAGTGGGCATGGCCCCAGTTCTGGCAGAATGCAAAAACATTTGGATGATGCTGTCAGACATAGGGTGGGATCCTTACAGACCCCGATTAGATCCCCTCAGCCGTCCCTTTCCGAGGCTGAGCAGGCCCTGCAGTCTGTTGGTTCCTTGGCAGCCCTCAGGCCTYGCTGCAGGAGCAAAACTCAGCACTGAGGGTGTTCCTGTCCCCACAGGCCCAGCAGCGCTGCGAGGGCTGTGACAGCCTCTTTGGRGAGTACTACTGTGACATCTGCCACCTGTTTGACCGTGACAAGAAGCAGTACCACTGCCAGGAGTGTGGCATYTGCAGGTGCGTGGGGGCAGTGGGGACAGTGAGCCTGGCTCTGTGGGGAACAGCCCTGCCCTGACACCTCTCTCTKCAGGATTGGCCCCAAGGAGGATTTCTTCCACTGCTCCAAGTGCAATTTGTGCCTGAGCGTGAGTCTCCGAGGAAAGCACAAGGTGAGGATGCACTGCTTATCTCCRTATCTTAAAAAAGTAGCACCTTAAACATACAGCTGGATGTGCCTCAGCCCCATCTGGGGCCACACAGCAGGGAGMGCAGTGGGTTCTCCTTCTCCAAATTCACTTAACAGAAGCACAGAGGTCACTACTCTTCAGACATAAGAAATTTAACATATTGGAACTTTGCATTTTAGAAAATCACAGAAGAATAACTTTTGTTTTTTGTTTGTGTGTTTGTTTTGTTTGTTTGTTTGTTTATTTGTTTTGGTTTGTTTTTTTTTTCCAAAGTGTATTGAAAATGTCTCCAGGCAGGACTGTCCGATATGTTTGGAGGTAAGCGGCTTCTTTTTGTCTCCTGGCTTACTGTGTTTGACTGTTTGAATTAATTTTCTTCTCTTTTGTCTGACATTTGCCTCAAAACAGGATATTCACACGTCTCGTGTTGGAGCCCACGTTCTGCCATGTGGTCACCTCCTTCACAGGTAAAGCAGATGCTTGAGGAAGGGGAATCTCTGCTGCCTTATGTGGGGTGTTTATTCAGCAGCACTGAGTCTGTGTCAGCTGCTCACAGCTGCTTTCTGTGGGGGCAGCCTGTTTCACCAGGAAATATTTTCTTGAGGGGGTTTGTTTTCGTTCTGCAGTCAGTTTTGACAGTGTGAAGCTCTCTACCTGCTTGCCCTCAGAAYGTTTTTACTTTCTGATTTGGGGTTGCCTGTGGGCCTTTTCCCTTTGTGCAATCCAGGTGTGTTACCTGTCAGTAATTCCTTTGTTTTTACTGAGCTGTGTTTCCTTTTCAGAACGTGTTACGACGAAATGCTGAAGGAGTAAGTATTTCCAGACACCTTTTGATACTGTCCTAGTCCAAACATACCCATCCAAGAGGCAAAGATCATGATGCCAATTCTGTACCAACTAATTTAAAGCCAGCTAAAGGGATGAAGGGCCAACTTAAAGGGATAAAGGGAGTTTAATTTTCAATTTGTTTGCAAGAGCTTGCTGTTTCAGCTTGTTTCTTTGACTGCTATGATATGAAATTTATCCCTATGAGAGGAATTGTTTCATGACCTCACTCCAGCTTGTGATTCACACTTTTTTCCTCCTTTCTGCCAGAGGGTACAGGTGTCCCTTGTGCATGCACTCGGCGTTGGACATGACCAGGTACTGGCGCCAGCTGGACAACGAAGTGGCACAGACTCCCATGCCCACGGAGTACCAGAACATGATGGTGGAGGTAAGAGGTGCCAGGTTTTCATGGAGCCGTGCCTCGGAGTTACTGGCAGTAGAGGGCACTAGGGAATCGGGAGCGAGCCCGAGGGGTGGGRAATGGTGAGGAAAAATCACGTGTAGGCTCGGGGTGTTCATCATTCCTGTTTGTGTACACACACTGCCGGTGCTGCAGCCTCTCCCTCCCTTCCCTGTGTGCGTGCAGATCCTTTGCAACGACTGCAATGCCCGCTCCACGGTGCAGTTCCACCTGCTGGGCATGAAGTGCAAGAGCTGTGAGTCGTACAACACTGCTCAGGACGGGCGGTGCCGGCTGTCCTTGGAGGAGCAGTGACCGGGAGCCGTGCGGTGTTCGGCCGGACGGGCAACGCTCCGCCCTGGGAGAGACTGGTTTGCACACAAAGAAACTCTTGTCCATAAGATTTCCAGTGTTCCAAGTTCAAGGAGTCCTTCACTGCATCAGGGAGGAGGGAGCTTAGAGGAGCAGCACRAGGAGATGTGATGAGCAGCTGATGCAGCAGCAGGAGGAGCTTGGGGATGGCTGAAGGGGAGGTGGAGGTGCAGCTCTCAGGGCTGATGTTTCCAGGGAAAACGGGTCGTTTTGAGAGGTCTTTTGGGGCAGCACTGACATCTGCAGGGCAGTGTGTGAGGGCCTGGTGTTCCTGGGAATGTGTTCCAGAGCCCCGGATTCAGTGCTGTGGGCGCTGCACCAGGGACCAGGCAGGAGTGGCATCCTTTGGCTCCCGTCACACATTATCACTGTGGGTGCAGAATTCCCTCAGAACAAGGGAATTGYCCTGCTTGCTGGGATGGACAGCTGGAAGATCAAGCTGCAAARCCCCCCATTTTCCCCTGGACACCCGTCCTGACCTGCTGCCGTCCCTTCACTCAGATTCCTTGGCCAGCTGCAGTCGCTTTTGTCCCCGTTTCTTCCCCGTTTGGCGTTACTCACTGGCAGACCGAGGTGCTGTGGGGTTTTAGACACGTGCGTAGCTCGATTTTGCTGGCCAAGTACCTGAAGTGAAGCACATAGTTCACATCAGGCTGAGCYTGAGGTGCTCACTGAAATACCATCACTCCAGTGGTGCAGGGACCAATTTTCTGTGCTTTTGGCRTTTGTCAATGGTAAAACTTCACTGCAGGGAGAGAATGTGGGGGCGAGCGACTGCCTTTTTAAAAGATAAAAACCCCAACCCCACCCCTTCTTTGTGTAATGTCCTGCCCGAGGTGTTTTGCAGTCTTAAATATTGCAGAAAGTTCTTGATTTCTTTGAATTTCACATGCAGATAATTTACAGTAATGAGATACAAAAACAGATCAGTTACTCTTCAGGTTACAACTACTGGTTTTTAACTTGTTCTGTTGTAAAATGAGCTTTTCTTAATCCAACAGTGCCCCTTTCTGTATGGAGTATTTAGGATTTGGATGATAGCTATCGTAGTTTGCCTGGACTGAGGTATCTTTTTCTGGAGCACTTTTCTCACTGCTATRAATAAATGTAAAATAACGTCTCTATTAAAATAAACAATTGGCACCGTGTGTGATGTGCTCTTCTTTCACACACGTACTCCCTGGAAATTCCCAGCTGAGTTTAAACCATGATTCAGGGCTGAAAAATGGTTGCATGTGGGGATGTGTGAGGCCTGAGACACTGTGAGGAAAATAAGTGCTTTATTTTTTACGAGCTCCTGTGTTTCCATATTTTTGTAGTATAAGCAAGCCTCCCTGCTGTCTGGAAGTGCCAGTGGGGCTCCCATCAGCCTGCAGGAATTGTCATCCCAGAAAACCTGGTGGTCGAGTTGCTTTTGAATGTGTTGCTAATGTGGTAAAACTGCTGGTCAAGTTCATAACCAAGCAGGTTTGCTGTTGAATGAGAAACTGATTTTATTCCAGCTGGAAATGTTCCTGTTGGGGTTCCAGCTACAAGAGGAGGCTGAAAGAAAACCCTTAGCTGAGCTGAGCTTTGGAAGAGCAGTTCCTGCTGAACTTTGGTATTGGGAAGGAAGATAATTCATGATGATCCAGGTGATTCTGACCTTTTGCTCTCCTGTTTTTGGTGTTTGCCTCTGGAAAGTGCATGAGGAAATGCGAATGCTGAGGGAATGCTGAGCTGCTGTTTGGTGTGTTTATCTTGGCACTGAGCCCTGAACTCCCTTTGCCAGGGAATAAATCACACAGCRGGAAAAGGAATGGCATTTGGGGGGGATGAAGGACAATGGAGTGGATAAAGATGGGCAAGGAGCTGCCTTTTGGGGTGAGAGGTGCCACAAGGAGCTTTGCTGTCCTGTCCCTGGAGCTGCAGGGATGGGAGCAGGAAGGATGCTTGGATCAGGGTGATCCTGGATGGAGCTGCAGGGATTGATGGAAGCAGGAAGGATGCTTGGATCAGGGCACTGGGTGATCCTGGATGGAGCTGCAGGGATTGATGGAAGCAGGAAGGATGCTTGGATCAGGGCACTGGGTGATCCTGGATGGAGCTGCAGGGATTGATGGAAGCAGGAAGGATGCTTGGATCAGAGCACTGGGTGATCCTGTCCATGGAGCTGCAAGGATGGGAGCAGGAAAGGTGCTTGGATCAGGGCACTGGGTGATGCTGGGATGGAGCTGCAGGGATTGATAGGAGCAGGATGTTTGGATCAGAGCACTGGGTGATCCTGGATGGAGGCAGCAGCTGCCTTGGCCACAGTTTGCCCGCTGGCTCTGGGAGCTGCTGGGAAGCTCCCACACTCCGTGCCACCCAGAATCCAACCTTGCTCACCCGCCTGGGCCAGAAGCAGGAGCAGATTGTGGGATTAGTGCTGCCTTGTGGGAAGAATGCAGAGTTCCAGCAGGCACAGGGACTGCAGCCACACGCAAGGTCACGCAGCTATTAATAAAGCCTGCCTGAGTATGAGGGATTCAGCAAGGCAGCAGTGGGAACAATGCAGGACTGGGCTCTCCATCCCAGGGGAAAAGGGATCCCYAGTTTTGGGTTGTTTTAATGTCTCTGATGTGGTTTTGGCTCGCTCCAGTAACATCATTTGGGGTGGAAGCGGGGCTGTTCCGTGTTAAAGCTCCGGCCCAGCCATCCCCTCCCGTGATTTTCCCGGTGCTGAGGCTGATGTCTTGCCCCTGCCCAATCGTAGAGAAACCATCTGTTTTGAAATTCCCAACTGGAAGGAACGCAGGAGGGAGAGGCTGCTTGTGTTGTGCTATTTATACCTCGCAGGGGCAGCGAGCATCTGTGTCTGCAGACCCCAGCTCAGCCCAGGGGAGGGCTGGGACCTCCTTGCTGGGAATGGGGACATTTCCTGGGATTTGCTGGAGCTGTGTCCTGACACCTGAACCCATTCCTGTGTCTGGGAGCTGCAACCAGGAGTATCTCTGCTCCTCGTTGCTACTCACTCCAGTAATTACACCAGGAGCCTGAGGAGATGACGCCTAGAAACAGGCGGGTGATGTATGGGAATATTCCCAAATGAGCCAAACTGGAGCATAATTAGRGAGGCCAGAGGGAGTCTGGAAGCWGTGATAAAGCAGCCTGTGGCTCTGCAGTGAGGGCAAGGCGGTGGAGCTGCAGCAGGATCACTCATCCCGTGGGCTCAGGGAATGGGATGTTCCACACAGAGCTATGCGAACTATTCTTTTTCTGTATAAATAAAAKATCTCTGAGAGGAAACAGAGCCAAAGTTCGGGGCGGGGGGAGGAGGTGAGGGAGTTGGAAGGAGGTGGAATTGAGCCAAAGTCGGGGGAGCCTTTGGGAAAAATGGGAATTTGCTATTTTTGCAAATGAAACAAGCTGGTAGCAGGGTTAACCCCATTGTTTTTAAAAAGAAAAGGGAAAAAGGCTTTTTTTTATGGCGTGTCCTGATTGTTTTTTTCCTCCCTCTTCCCTGCTGTATTGGTGTGGGACAGAAACCCCTCAATAAGCCAGAGGGCCTGAGCTGGGAATGTGAGAGGGCTCTTTGAAGCCGCTGCCTGGAACATGGGCACCCTCCCTGTGAGGGCACTACCCCCAAAATAAATSGCTTTTTCCACTTGGCAAAGGCTCCTGTTATTCCCTAGGCTGTCCCGTGCCTCRGCTCGTGCTGGCAAACAGTCCTGGAGATGTAAACACGTCACCCATGTCCATACCAGCCGTGTCACAGGGCAGCTGCACTGGGAATAGAGGCACCCAGGATGGTGTCTGATCCCATAGAAGTGAGGAATCTGTTTTCACCCCGGGATATCCCCAAAAATATGWGCAGCTTCTTCCTTGCATTGCAGGCAAGGGAGTCTTTCCTTTTGAGCATCTGGGAACAGGGCTAAGCAGGAAAACTGACACCCCATTTCTGTTCACCTCCATGAAAAAGGAATTTATTCCCTTGGGATTATGTAATTTCAGGTGAAGGTGATGGCTTTTTCTCTCCCTTTATTCCCTCACTTWGTTTGGCAGCAGCACCACAATGCCCAGTTTATTTCCAGAGAGGAAGGATTGTGGGGTTTTTAACTCTGTGGTTTTTCTCAGTAAATGAGGCTGAATTCACTGCTTTTTGGATGCCATAAAGGTGAAAAGGAATTTTGCTCACCCTAAGCATCCATCTGTGCTCCCAGCTCCGACAGTTTCCCAGGCTGGCTGTGATTGGGAAGTGCAAGAATCATTCAGTTTTATCTTCTGTTTCACCGAGTTYAAACTAAAAGAGGCTGAGGAACACACGGCCAATTGAAAGAATGGACCCCAGAACAGGCTGCAAAAGGTTCAGGAGGGAAAGGAAAATGCCCAGTGATTGCAGTTCCTTTGGGGAAGCGGAGCTGCCCTCGTTTCTCTGACCTGTGCAGGTGCTTTTATGGCATTCACCGGATGGAAATGCCGAGATGATGCATCCCTGCAGGAAGCAATCACGGCCACACCCCGAGCTTTGATGTTTCCAGGGATGCTCCATTTGGGAGGCAGAGCCCAGGGCAGAGCCCGTTTCCAGCCATGCTGGGACACCCCGAAGGTTTTCTGGAAACATTTAGGGCTGGTTTGTTTACAAAGGTCACACAGACTCAGGGCTTTGCATGCCACTGCCAGGGAATTCAGCCGGAGGGAGAAGAGGCTGAACATCCCCTTCCCAAACCAGCCCTGCCATCGGCCACCCCCRGCCTTCCCAGGCTAAAAGCTGAGCACGAATTGGAGATGAAAAGAACACTCCGCYGGATTTTAGCAGCCAAGTTTTTTAAGGAATGGAAACAGAGCCGTGGAGCAAGGCAGCCACATGTGTGAAATGGATGGTCAGTGCATCTTCCCGTGGGCTCCTGGGCTGCTTTTGGGACTCAAACCCCCACAATTAAATGGAAAAAAATTAAATGAGGAATTTCTGCACGAAGCACCTGCAGGAAAAGAAAGGGAGCAGCGACTGAGCAGCCCCATAACCATTCATGGTTCCTGGTGAGACAAGACAAAGGATTTCACAGCAGGGCAACACAGGGAAGTGATTTTAGGGACAGGGACGTGTGAAAGCACAGGAGACCCCGGCACACTGCTGGCTCTGGCTCAGCAGCCCCCCGCTCTCCCTCAAATCACAGAGCAGCAGCATTTCAAAGGCTGCCACAGCCCTGGCTGAACCTCCATCCTCTCTCTCGAGATCCCATCCCTTCCCCCTGGGCAATTTGGGTTCCCTTRCCTACAACAAGTGGCTGACCTGCCCCAGGACCCAGTTTCCTACTCGAAGGCCAAAATTCAGGTTTATTKTCAGCACTGCACACCCGCCCTCCAGTCCCTGTGGTCCACCAGACCCGCGGTGATCCTGCCTGAGGCAGGGGCTCCGTGCCCGGCATCTCCTCGACAGCGGATGCTCTGCTGCAGAAGCGCTTATAAATTAAGGATTTATGGGGTTTTTTCTTCATCCCTGCTAGGAATCATCGTACAGGGGGTTGTTGTAGTTGCCCCAGGAGCCGTAGTCGTGGTCATCCAAAAGCCTTCCATAGGAGGAGTGCCTGCCAGGGAAAGCAGAACGGTTACTTTGGGCATTTATTAGTTATTTTTCCACAAGATGAAGAAATATTAATTCAGGGGCTCCCTAGCTCAAGCTTTGGGATATTTTAAGAGGAACAGAAGTGAAGAGAAGCCCAGGCTGGGTTTTGCCCCTGTGGAATGAGACTGGACAGGGCGGGGAATTAAAACAAGGCCTYTGCTGGTCTCAGCTGTCAGCAAAGGCTCATTAGGGATGCTCAGCACTGGGCTCTGCTGCTGTTTATTGTCCCTCTCACAGCGAGACCCACGGCAGAGCTCTCCCAGGGGATAATTACTGGCTATGACTCTGCTGAGCAGCCTCTCTGGCATTTGAGCAAGGCTGTTGAAAAATGAGGGATTGAAACTCTGCTTTCCAGCAGAGGAGCCGTGAGAAACGGAGCCGTGCTGGGCCTGGGGACAGCGTCCTCCTGGGGACAGCATCCTCCTGGGGACAGTGTCCTCCTGGGGCTTTGCAGCATCCTTGTGAGGGTGACAGGGGCTGCAGGGAGCCTCAGGGAGAGGGGCCCACCCCAAAAATAGCCTTACCTGATCTTGAGGTACGCGGCGGCCCCGAACACCAGCACCACCACCACGATGACCGTCACRGTTATGGCCACGATGCTCCCTGGGGGTGATCCATCAGAAAGGGCAGGGTCAGYCCCCCAGGGCCCAGCTCATGGCACACATCCCACACCCCAGCTGCTCCCAGCTCACCCAAACCAGCCCTTTCTGACCRGGGGAATATTCCCTCACTGTTTCCAAAGCTGATTCTGGGCCCTCCTAAATTTTTGCAGTGATCCCCTTCCCATAAATTTTAGGGTATTTTACATTTAGGATGAAGCACAGCTGGGCTTTGCTCGGGCCCCATGGACTCCCTCTTTGATGCTCCTCCCAGCACCAGACAGCATTTAGTGCTGAGCCAAACCTAGAGAATACTCCGGACCATTTCTTTTCCAGCCCTGTGGAGCATTTCCAAGCTATCTGTGTTTGCAGAAGGGGACAGGGAGAAGCTCCTGTCAGCTCCCCGAGGTCTCCAGAAGGGAGAGTTAAAACCTGCATCATCCTACCTCAGTCTGCATCCCCCATGCAGCCATTTGTTTCCTCTCATCCTTAAGTGTTTCGAGTCAAATTTAGAACTGAGGGTTTYATTCGCATCTCCAGGCAACGGCGATTTGTTATCCGCCGCTCCCGCTCCCTGCCAGGGGATCAGATGACACAGGCTCCCCCCGGAATTTTGCCCAGGAAGCTCTCCCTGCAGTTTGGGGGTGTGCCCCCCATCTGAGCACCCGAGGGTGGCCCTGGAGCTGTCGCTGTCCCCGCGGTGCTCACCTGCGCTCAGGGCCCGCGGCATCTCCTCCACGGTGACACCGGTGGCTTTCTGGGAGCTGTCCTCGCCCTGGGTGGGGCCCATCACAGTCACTGGSGGGGATGTTGGCTCCACGGCCAGGCTGGATGCCATGGCCAGTGTCCCCAGGGAAGGGACACCCTTGGCCAGCGGAGGYGGCTGGGTGGCGCCAGGGCTGGCGAGCACCGGCGTTGGGGACAAGCCCGTGGCSGGGGGCGAGGAGGGGTCGCCGGCGGGGAGGGAAGCGGGAGGGGACGGCGTGGGGCTGGAAGCCRCCCCCAAATCCACGGTGCTGCTCGCCAAGAGTCCGGAGAGTGTTGCTGTCTGAGCTGGGGCTGGCTCCGAGCTGGGGCCGGCGGGSGCGGTGCTCACGGTGACCGAGACGGGAGCGGGGGACGGCACCGCCACCGCGGTGGTGGCATTGAGACCGTCCCCCTCCGCGGGAACGGGGGATGTCCCATCTCCGGAAGGTCCTGGGGCCGAGGGCGGGGARGGCTGGCCCGGGGCTGGCGTGGGGACATCGGCATCCCTGGAGTCTGGCTTCACCGGGACACCCCCCCAGAGGAACGGGGGGCTGATGGGGCCCGGGGGGGATTCCGGGGAGCCATCGCCCAGTCCTGGGGGTGAGACAAAGGAATGTCAAGAACGGGGCGCTCCTCGGGGCGAGCTGGGGGTCGGGTTTACTTGGTTCCCCCCCGGAATTCAGCCGGAATAGGTTTGGGTTTTAAAGTGCTGAGAGCCATCAGAAATGAAGAGATGGCAAACACAGCTGCATGCCTAGAGGCGAGGGTTAAACCGTGCCCTGGCCTAAATCAGCCCCATTTTCCCCCAAGTCTGGGATGCCCCCATCCCCATCACCCCCTCCATCCTCCCAGCAGCAGGGGAAGAAGCTCCTCCTCACAGCAGTCCCTGTGCAGCTGGGAGTGACAACACAAGACGCCTCTTTCTCCTCTCCCCCGTTTCCTTGTGCATTCATTCATTCATTCGTCTCCATTCCTYAGCAAGGAGATGAGTCACTTGTCCSTCTGTCCCCACCAGCTGACTGCTGGGGCTTCCCCCCCTTCCTGGGGCTGAAMTCAGCCCCGGCCCCCTCAGTGTGARGGAAGAGYGTGCCAACGCTGCACGACATCGGGAGGCGTTTGTATTCCGTGTTTTCATCCATTTACAGCCCCACAGCGTCCCGAGGCTGGCCCTGGGAAGAGAACTCACTCCAGCTGCGATGAACTAATGATGAGCGTGGAGGACAGAGACATTCAGAGCCTGTGTGCACGAACAATGGGATGCGGTGCTGGCTGGGACTSGTTAATCAACACAAATTTCTCAGTTGGTGCTGTGGATATTCACGTGAAGGACCCCACTTCCCAAAAAAAAAGGTGGGACTGAGGCCATGGCTGYTCTTCTCTCCCAAGGAGATGTTCACCCTCCTGAGGCTGAGGACACAAATCTTGGGATCGGGAGAGGACAGCAATGGAATCTGGTTACTGGATAAACCCCCTGGCCATCACAGCAGTGGAGAAGCCTGGACCRAGGATCCTGCACACCAAATCCATCTGCATTTCAATAATCCTCACCCCAACATTCCTGGACATTTCAGATTTCTCCAGCAGGTCCCAGACAGCCCAGCAAGAGCACAGCAGGATCCTCGTGGGCTGGGAGCACAGGGGGAGGTTGTGACCTCTGTAAATGCAGGTGCTGCCAGCCCTTCTGGGACACAGACAGCCTGCCACCTCTCTGCAGAGCCACCCCGATGTCCCCAAGGGCTCGGGGTCAGCACAGCTCCCATGATCTGCCCCAASTCTGGAGGCACACCAACAGGGAGCTGGGGAAGCTGGCAGTGCTGCTGGCCTGCATGAGTCAGGAGCTTTCTGATCATATCWGAGGGGGATAAATCGGGAGGCTGAGCCAGAGCTGGAGGCAGGAACAATCCCTGGCTGCTGGCTGAGAGCTCCCAGCCAAGGAGGTCACAAGTCATGGGGGCTCTTCCCAGGAGAGCCAGCACGACCAAAGGCACTGCTCAGCTTCCCTGSGAGCAATCCACTGCTGGGCTGTGCCCTTCCTCCTCCTCACCATCACGGGATCTGGGACCCAGCCACTGCCCTTGGGGTCTCACCCACAGGAGATAACCCCAGCCATGATCCCAGAGGAAACTCGGGCATCTGAGCCAGTTAGGATTTAGGGACACAAAGGCCCTGGTGAAATCCCCCTTGGCTGGTGCTCACTGTCCCCATGTCACTGCACCCCATCATGGGCAGCCTGTTTGTCCTCCACCATCACATCTGAAAGGGAAAATCCAAACGAAGGAGAGCGTGTCTTTGTTTCCCCAACACCCGGAGGTGCTGCAGGGAGCAGGAATAAGAGCAGAGCCCCAGAATGAGGGACAAAACACAACTGCAACAGCTCATTCACAACCAGACGGCTTGAGAGGCTGCAAACGCCTGGAGCAGGGGCTGTCAGAGGGACTGAGGGATGTCAGCTCCCAGGGATGCCGAGCATAGCTCAGCCCTGAGGAATTTGCCCGTCTAATTCACTTCAGGCAGTTGACCACTCTGCTGGAATCCAGGAGACTGCTAGGACAAGGAGCCCCTTAGGAAAAGCAGCAGTGCCACGCTCCAGAAAAACACAAAACCCCACAGAAGCTTTGGGAAGTCCTTTTTCTAGATTTTCTTCACCAGGAATACAGAAAACAGCCAAGGAACGAAGAGCCCAAAGCTGTGCCATTCAAATATCCCGCTCTCAGGGAATATTCACCCTAATCCATGCCAGCCCAAGGGATGAGCCTGATGAATTCTCTGTCTCCCCTACTGCCATGCTGCTCTCCAGGCTCCTGGGAGTGATGCAGAGGAGCAGACATTGCCCCTGCAGGAGCTGAGCTGGGAAAGAGCTGCCTGACCTGGGCTGGCAGCCTCTCCAGGATGCACTTCCCAGGCACTCCAAAAGCCATTGCAGCAAATCCTAAATTGCTCTGCCAGCTGAAACGCAGCATAAAAGCCACCAGAGAACATCTCCAGCCCGAGTGAATGACATCAGAGCGGAGCAGCCAAATAAACATCCACTGATAAGGCAGAGATGGAGCTTTTATCGAGCTTCACTTTGGAACTCATCGCCTCCGACACAGTCACCAGGAGATCCACATGACCTGAGCCACACGCCTGCTCCCAGCCCCAATTAACTGGAGCACCCAGGCCCCAGCTGCAGCCAGGGATGCTCCTCCAGCAGCCAAGGCCGAGGGATAATGAAAGTTTCCATAACAAGGATTTTATCTGTTCTGCCTGCCAGCAGCAGATCCCGGCTGTGGTGACACAAGGAATGCAGCCACCTGTTCTGAGCGAGGGATGAAGGGCAAGGAGAGCAAAAACAGGCCTTTGGCAGGTCCTGTATCACTCTGCTCCTCACCAAATTCTGATGAGAGAACAGCCCTGAGTCCTCCAGTGTGCCTTGGTTCATAACCAGGTTAAGCCATGCAGAGCAATAAAACAATCTGTGCTTAAATACAAGTGAGGATTTCCTGCCCGTGACCTCGTGTGCTCCGCTTTGGTTTCCGTGGCTGGGGATTCCCATCACTTGTGCCGGTATTTTTGCAGCTCCCCTCCCCCTTGCCAAAGCTCAGGTATAACTTCCATTGTGTTCCTTTGCTACAGAGCCAGCAGCATCTGGCTGTGGGTGGCAAAAGCTCTCCTCGAAGTCGCTGCGACTGAACCAAACTGGTTTTTGCTTTGGGATCAACGAGTTTTTCCAGCTGTTCAGCCCCGCACTGCCTCGCCTTCCCCGTCAGCGTGCACTTTGGGATTTGGGGATGGGGATTTGGGGATGGGGATTTGGGGATGGGGATTTGGGGATGTTCACTCTGTCCTGGTTGCCTGGAGGCCCCATCTGCAGCACACAGGGTGTGACTGAGCTCTGTGCCGGTGTGGGGGAAGCAGCACAGAGGATGTGGTTGGGGCCTTTACCTTGTGCCTTTCTGTTTCTGGGGTGCTGCTGCAGACTCCTGTCTCGTTACCCCCAAAAAATGCAGGCCCTGGGGAGGGTTGGGAGCAGCTCTGCAGGCTCTGAGCTCTGTCTCACACCCACCAAGCTTCCCATGCCATCACAGCCGGGTTAGGGATGGGAAATGGGCATTTCTGGCTTCAGCAAAGCCCCAGCGCTGCATGTGCATGCTGTGAAGCGCTGCTCCACTCCTTCCTGCTCTATCTCCTCTGTTTTCAGTGATAGAATCTGCTGGTGATGGTACAAAGCCAGTTCTGAGAAGAGGAAGAAACCAAGGGGGGGCCAGAAACACCAACAGGTAAAAGGCAAAGCTCTTCCCTGGCTGTGTGAAGAAGCCAAGGATGTCAGACCCAATAAATCTGCAGCTGCTCTGATTTACTGGCGAGCCGAGCTGGCTTCCTGCGTGATTAGTTTTATTCTGCTGCATGGCCCTTAAGTGCTTTAGGTCTAATTGCTCTGAAGGTTTCTGTAGCTGAGAGAAACAGCTACACACCAGAAATCTGTGTGTCCCTCAGCGTGCCAGCCTCTGTCCCCAGCCATCAGCTGGCCAGGACACTTGAGGATGTCCCTCCCAGAGGATGGGGCTGCTGCTGGGCCATCCCATCAGCATCCACATCCCTGGATGCACCTCTTGGGGATTCATGGACATCCCCTGCCTTTTGCAAAAGGGAAAAGCAGAACCCATGTGGTTAAAGAAAGGTGGAGCTTTGGGGATCTGGCAAGGAGGGGCTGCGAACAGCAGAAAAGAAGGTGAAAAGAAATTTTAGGCATTGTTTTCCTTCTGACAGTGACAAAATACTCCTGAGGAGTGGTCAGATGAGGACCTGACAGTGCCAGGTCTTTCTGAAAAGATGTTTTGCTCGTTTAAATTTAAAAATACATAAAGTATTGCATGTTTTCTTTTTTTAAACAGGTGCTACACCGTGCTGGATTCCCTGGGGACGAAGGGATCCCGTGGCAGGGGACGCTGTTTGGTGGCTCTTGGGGCTGGGAGCTGGCAGATAGACTTGCCTGCTTGGGACTCCTCTCAGTGCWTTTTCCCAGGCACATATGTTGGATATGGCTCAGGAACCAGCCAGGAGTTTTGCAAGAAAATGACAACTCCCCGGCTCGTAATTTTCCTGGCTGGCTGCTAATTAGTGCTCCTCGGTGCAGCTTCATCAGCCCCATTCCAGCCCCTCCCAGGGGGAGAAACAACTGGGCTCAGCAGAGACATTTTGGAGCATCCTCTGGAATTAGAGGCTGATTGCTCACTGGGGCTGGGACAGGGGGTAATTACCCATCTCCCCATCCCTTCAGCTCGCTGGGAGCAGGCAGAGCAATTTGCCTCCTCAATGACAGCCTAAAACAGCCCGTGATGCTCCGAGACCTCCAAAAAGCAGCTCTCCCACCCCAAAGTCTCAGTGAAGAAGCACTCAAAACCTTAAAAGCCAAGAGCTGCTTCTAAAAGGTACTTAAAAATGTCTCAGCTGGGGCACAGGGGGATTGCTGAAGGGGGGAGCGGGCTCGGGGCTGGGCATCACCTCGGGAAAGCAAAGCAGGTTTCGATTTACATGCAGAGTAAGGAGTAATAACAGCATAAAAACTTCCTTGTGTGAGACGCTGTTATTTCATTACGTGGCCAGGCAAAGCCCAGACTTATTTTACTCCTGGCCAGTGACGTCGTCGCTGTCATTTAGTCCTGAGGAATGAGCTTGAAGCGCAGTCAAATCGTGCTTTGTGTTTCCTCACAGATGATATATATGTATAGATGGATAGATATAGAATTTTTTTTGGTAAGAATTATTTCATTGGGCTCAAAAAAGTCGTCGAAAGCATCTGAAAGATGCTCTGGGGCTGGTTGGGAGCAGCCTGAGAGCCATGGGASCAGAGTCCAGGGAAATCTTTGCTGYTTCCTCTGCCAAGCCTCGCTGGCGTTGGTGCTTTAGGGAGGGATGGTCGTGGGAACGGCTCTGGGTTTGGCCCGGGCGCTGGGAAAAACCCGCCCCCGACCCCAAAGGTTGACTCCCAGCAGAGAYTGGCTCCGGCTTTGGGGGCGAATTTGGGCCAGGCGGGAGCCCGCGGAGGAGGAGAGGAGCAAAATGTTCATCCCCATCGCTCCCAAACGCATTTTGTCGGAAAGCACAGAGCCGGGAGCGCGCTGGCGAGTTTCCCCTTTCCAGGGAAAAGCGTTCACCCCGCTGTCCCTCCCCTCGTGGGCTGGGGTCACCTCTCCAGGGAACATCCTCGGGGTCCCGCAGCCACCCCCGGGGACGCGGGGCTGTCACGGGCAGCTCAGCCCCGGCCCAGCCGCGTCCCGTCGCGCTGCGCTGCCACCAGCGATGTGACAATGACAGCTCAGCCCATGGATTTCTCCCCGCGCGCGTCCCCGGTTATGCAAGTGTGTTTGCCATGTTTCTGAGCAGGCTCCTCGTGGTTATTAAAAGCCCAGCCTGGGCGGGTGCAGGGGTGACCCGCGCTCGCTGTCGCACCCGCCGGGGACAGAACTGTCTCCTCTGGCTGTCTCAGTGAGGGGAAGATGCCAAATCGGGTGTTTCTGTGGGATGGGGAGGCTGGCGCTGCCCGGAGGAGATGCCTGGAGCCGGGGAGGRAAGCGCCGGGGGTGTGGGAGCCTCTGCTCAAGGCCAGCGAGAGCCATCAAGGCTCCGTCAAAGCAGTGACCGCGGGGGGAAGGGGACGCGGGACTGGGGGCGAGCCCGGGCCGCGCAGGGGGTGCCCGTGGGGAGAATCTGGTGGTGCCAGCAAGTTGTCCTCCTTCGGGGCACGACTCTGCCGGGGACTCCTGTGCGGGGTACGCCGTGAGGAAAAGAAGGGTGAAACACCTCCTGCCCGACCCCACCGGTGTCATTGGCCCTGACCCCTTCCCGGGGGCGGGAGAGGGACCCGCGGGCGCGGGG